CTACCTAGCACAGAACTCATGTATTAGCATTCCTATTGACATTTTTCATATCTGTGCTGTGCTAACACAGCCAGTACATATCAGAATTGTAAATGGTGCTAAGGTATGAATTTTGTGCTATATGTAACCACTACCTTGAATTGTTTTAAATACATGTATTTTTGCATTAGTAATGTAGCTCGGTTTTCTTCTCTTTCAAGTTGAAAATCAAATTATTCCAGCATTCTGACGAAGTAGCAGGCACAAGCGTCTTGCTAGCTCTGGCTAGATAACCTGTTTGTCATGTCTGACCCGCATGACAGTTGTTCCATGACTCCACCTCTCTCTCCAGTCAGCTTTGGTAACCTGGAGCAGGACGAGCCTGAAATCATTCCACCAAAGAGGGCTCATATGGAAGGTACATACATGTATTTTTATTGTGAAAGTCTAGACATGGCATGGGTAACGCACTGCACATTGTATTTTGGGCCAGACTACATAAAGATTAGTATATCCAACATGCATGCATGGGTATATGTAACATGGGTGAGAGTTTCTTGATTTTGCCCAATTTCAGGATTTTCAATCTTCCTTTTGATCATTTTTTTTTCATATGACCTAAATGGGATCTTTTATCCAAGGTGCAAAAATTGTGTCCTAGTACATACCAAGCTAAACCACCTATCTCTGCTGAATTGGCCTTTCTATCTGACTCCTTTGTCAAGGCATGTTCATATCTTACAACAGCATGATTAAAGTAGATTTTTTATCCCAGTAATTTCGGTTATCCACTGATGTGTAATTGCAAGGACATCCCTGTAAGACATTGACCGTCATATGCATGTACTTAATTATATGCTTTCCATAAATACTATTTCCCTTTTATTTGAAAGATGATCCTGTGAATGATCTACCTTCCTGTTTTTGTTGCCTCGGGGAGGTCAGTACCCAGAATTGTGTTTTTCATCCAGATGGCTACTTGAAGCAGAATGCATTGGGAAGGTACTTATACTCTCCTCCTCAATCCCTCAAGGAGGGAACGATATTAAGTCACAGGCAGATCTAGAACTTTGCCAAGGGAGGAGGTGCACAAGAATAAAATGCTTTGGCATACCTCACTTAGCTAATTAATATGTGTACTAGTATAAGAAAGTAGACAAGGGCTATTTTAATTGGGGCTCAAATATTAGAACAGGGTTTGTTTTTGTCTCATTTTATACTTTCTTTTTTAAGTTATGGGACTCATTGCTCACTGCTGCGCCTTCTCCCTGGATATGTCATTGCAAATATAGTAACACATAAAAATGTATTCTTTCTATCAAATCCTTTTCATGTTATCATGATTGAGCTAACAATTTTTCTTTTAGACTTGCAAGGTTTTATTTTTATTATCTAGACTTCTCCATGGCTCTGATCCAAACTTTGCAGCTTTCCAGACTACTTGCTGTGAATTATTTGGATATTACTTCACTAATCACTTAGCATTACAAGAACAGATGGAGAAGCTGTTTTTCCTGGTTAGGTAAGTTGTGGCTTTATTCAATTTTCAGCAATTTCATTTGAAGAAAACTAACATGTTTCTGTGAAAATATGATACAGCCAACCAAAAAAAAAATTACATTGTTTTATTTGCAGCTACATTAGAATATGCGAGTACAGCATTTTGTCATATCAGGTCTAAAAAATAGCACTTCCCTCTCTTCAATTCATAAATTTATTAAGTTTTATATTTATATTTATATTAGTTACATGCACCTATAATGTGTTTATGAATGACTTTTCTCATTCTTTAAATTTTAAGACAGCAGCTGAACAAACTGGAAAACACTACTATAACATCAACAGGCTGGTCACTAGGGACAGGTAAGATATTAAGGCATCATTCACATGAAAAATCTGCAGTAGTATCTCTAAACTATGGAGTTCATCAGTTTAGTTGTGATGATGCAAGGACAGAAGACACAAAACATGATTAGTAGTAGTAGTAGTAGTAGTAGTGCAAAACAAGTTAGAGGAAAGGCAAAGGGAATGGAAAACTGGATGGACACAGAGACCCTCGCAATTATCAATATCTGGGGGGAGGAAGACATTCGAGCGCAGTTTGTGAGTGTGCGTTACACAAATGTTCCAAGTTTTCCAAAAGATCGCTGAGCGGCTGAGACAGGATTGCGATATTGATCGTTCAGGCCAGGCTTGCCTCATTAAAATCAGAAAGTTGAAAGAGAACCATTTTCTTTCTCTCTAACTTATTACTGTACATGCGTCCAGGTGTCAGAATCTCCTCCGAGTGCAACCGAAATTTAATTACAGCTTTGGAAGTAACTCACTCGCTCTGCTAGTTAATTACGCAGCGGCGTTTTCAGGGCACAGACCGTGATCACTAGATACCGCCAATGGATTTTTGGATTTTTGGAATTTGGATTTTTCATGTGAACGTTGCCTAAGATATGAATGTTCATATGTAAATTGGTTAAGACATCAGGTAAATGTGATTCAATCTGATATAAAGTATATGCATATATTGTTCAAAAGAGATGGAACAATTTGTGGTACTGAATGATGTTTTATTTCTGTTTTGAAATATGATTTATTCTCTCAATATCTGTGGTAATAACTACATGTGGGAAAGCTTTTGGTCTTATGATACATGTAACTTGAATGTTCCAGTGCTAATGACAATTTTTGGCTAAAAACCTTTTTGGAAAGTTTGCCAATTTATCACTCATTAGATTAAAAATGTGAAGATTATCACCTATTTGTGCTGAAAGAATATTCATGCTACTGGGGGTATAATGAGTCCAGAACTGAACCCACACAGCATGTAGTTAGTGGCATTTTGTGTACCTACAGGTTCGTCTGCCTCCTTTATGACATCAAGGCATTACATTAGAACTTTCCTTGAATATGTCAAGGTTTATGTATGCAGGTAAGTTGCTTCTGTTATAGATTAAAAGTGGTTTTTGTGATTATCGTTATTAATATTATGCATTTCTTTCTTTTTTTTACAATTATTATTAATATTGTTAAAAATGTACATCGTGTGTGTGCATGTGTGTTGCATTTGTGTGTGTGTTATTTTTAAAATTTATAGAGAAGAACAAAACTTTTATGTATTTGCAGATATGTGAATGAAATGAATGCAGAGCAGTTCATTCCCCAGCTATACTGCCATCTTCATGTTTTATTGCTGCATCTTGGTCGATTGACTGAGCTGCCCTCTAGTGTCTTAAATCAGTGCAGTGCCAGACAGGGAAATACAGTAATATCTTATTTTGGAGAAACCTACTTCAAATAATATTTGGTCCATATATATATGATTAAGAAAATAAAAACAATATAATTTGTTTTGCACAAACTTTAATGATCTGATAAGTAACATCAGCTATATGTATCAGTTAAGAAAACAACTGTAACTGTTTTTACAATTTTACATTTTAATATCTTTATACCAAGTCAGCTTATCTTTGTCCTGTTCTTTAATTTGCAGAGCACAAACACATCTTACCACATTTTCCACTGCCATTTAGATGTACATTGGGGAGTACTAGAGATACTGCATTTGATAACCACTAAATACCCCAATGCAGGTTAGGTTTCATGCATTTGCATTGATGTACGTGGTGTGTTTTGACTTGACCAACTCTTAAAAACATTAGTGCAAATGTTCTTTTTTTCTCATTAATGATTGTAGTCCTTATTTACAAAATTTTCAAAAAAAATTTAATATTCATTGAATTCAGTGTGAGCATACATTGTGTTTTAATTTTAAAACAACCCTTGCCCCAAAAATTAAAAAAAAAAACATTCTGGAGTGCGCACATACACACACAAACGTTATATATTAGATTTTTTTGGTAGGGATAAGTTCCAGTGGCCAGAGATGGTGCCAGGGTCCTGGTGTTGAGGACTACTCTGTGGACCCCAGTGACCCATTCCAGCAGTGTCTGCAGTTACTACTGTGGGATCTTGTGGTGCTGGCCATGAAAAAACATGGCAAGGTATGCACAGTTTCAGTTTACAACATAAGCACTGGCTGCCGCTAAGCACCAGTTAATTTGAAGCCAGATCTGTAGAGTTTTTTTTAGATATATTCAGTTAATGGCCAGCATTTTCTTAGGCTAGAAGTTTTTAAAACCCTGGTGGACCAAAAGATCAGTACTCCAGTAGACTTGAGATCGATTTAGAACACAGACAACTGTTTCAACTCTTTGCAGATAAGTTTGCATGAAATAATGGTTGGTCTGGAAGGCATGGGTTGCATGTGTTCTTTTTGTATAGTACCTACTTTTAAATTACTACTTAACTCACTGCTGTAGTATTGTATTTTTATAATAATATTTTTGATTCTTTGAGGTAGAATGCAGACATGGGTTTACAGGTGGTACTCAGAAGTTCATTAATGTAGGAGTTTATTTTGATTTTATTATATACAGTAATCCAAAGAAGTCACAAAGACTCATGCAGATTTATTGCAATTTGTAACTTCTTATCATATCAATATGGTATCATATTTAAACTGGCCATTTTTATGCCCAGTTGTCCATGAAAGAGTACCTGTCTGTGTCACCCTTCCATTGTACTTGTATCCGAGAGCTGTGGGTGATGCTGAGAGAACTCACAGATTATAGGCAGGAGCACATGGGAAAGAATGTTAGTATGGATACTTTACCTAAATGAAGTTTCATTTCTATATACCTAAAGAAAAATTAACTGAGATTTACCAGCCAATTTTCCAACTGGAAATAAAACTTTATTTCATATGCTTATACTTAGATGTAAATATTTGTGGTTTACAGTATACTTGTACTTGAAATTTTCACCATGACCTTTTATTTTTTCAGTCATTTTGGATCACCTTAGATGAGATTTTACAGCAAGTTTTACACATTCAGCAGCAGCCTGGTACATGTAGCAGTGAAGTAGAAATGGGTATGTACATGTAGATTTCTCCTGGTGATAATGTAATTTACAAGATTTCCAAATCTGGAAATGTAGGCTCATTCAATCCATTTTTGAGAATAAGTAATAAAAGTATTTTGAATGAGTGGATACACATTATATTATATGTGATTTAAAGATTGGTGAATTTGACTGCTAATGTGTGATTTAACATTTCCGTGCTGATGACATTTGTGTTCTTTAAGCTATAGTTCCATCAGTGGTGAAAACTTTTGTGTCTGTGGAAGATAAATGCTGTAATTGTAATTTTGTTTTTATTTCCATCTCTTTCAGACACAGACAAGTTTTGGCTCCCACCCATCTTTCAGTGTTCTAACACTACAGACTTCTGTTGGTGGTTACTACATAACATGGCCCCACTATATGCATATACAAGTGAAGGGGAGCATGTTTCTCTGGCAAGTTCTTGCTTTCTTTTGCTTTAAAAATCCATACACCTATCAGAATAGTACCCTTTATGGTGATTATGTGAATAATATTTTTTTAAAGTTGCATACTTTTTATAGTGGTAAGGTATTATTTTAATGCATGTAATCCACATGTTCTCGCTGTATATAACGGGTTGTTTTTGCACCTAGCAATTATTCTTTTAAATTTATTTTCAGACAAATCCTCTCCAAAACAACTATATGTTTTTGGTTCAGAGTTTGTTGAAACCATTAACATCTGGGGTATGTTATGGCAGTAAAACAATTTTTTCAGAATGTAAGACGACATATATTTTAGATATAACATAATAAATTTGTTTTTGATTGATTATTTGTGATATATATAATGATTCATTGAAGAGAGCTATGTTAAAGGATAACTGAGGTGTCTTATGGTTTATGCATATTGATCATAAAGATTATTAATGCAATCATTTTATATTTCTTTCTATCGAGTGTTATACAAATTTCCTTGTATAAGTATTTTAAACAATGCTTTTAGAAGTACACAATTGTTTGCAGACTGCCAGGAGAAAGCCTTATGTTCTAAACACTTCAGCCTAGCTAGTAAATGTGGTTGTTTCTCTACAACATGTATATTTGTATTTTGATGCTTTCACTGACTTGCCTAAGTGTCTTTGTCCACAGGAACAGCAGGTAGATGAAGCTCACCTGAGGTGTTACATGCAGACGTCCCTGTCCCTCTGCAAACTGTGGGGTCCCAATATAGATGTTCTCATCCACCTTTGGGATTATTTTTATAAAAAGCTGGTAATTTTTTCTTTTATAATCTGTCTTTTTTTCATCTTCTTATTTTTGTTTTCATTTGTGAAAGAATGATTTAAGTTTAACTAAATGTGGTTCTCTAGTATGTAAAAGACATATGCTATGGCTTTATGTTCTGTGATAATATATTTAGTACTTTTTGTTTTTCAGAACCATCACTTTCAGATCCAAGGCTTGGGAGTTGAAGGACTGGCAAAAATAAAGTATGCGTGTAAATGTTTTCTTTTGATTTGAAAGGGAATTCATGGAGCACAAATCATTTTTGATGAATGTAGCACCTTATGTATTAAAATGAAAAAACATACATTTCCGTCATAAGTTATACATATTAATCAAGTGTATTTAAATTCATGTATATGTACTTAAGACAAGTGAATTACATATAGATTTACCTCTGATTCCATCAGCTGTTATCTTATTTACTATGAATCAAAGTTATAGATATGGTTTTATTCTGTTGCAGCAAGTCTGCAGTCTCCTGGTTGGAGAAGTGTAAGAACCTTACTAAACCTGACTCCAGGTGAGATAACATCTATTACATATACCAGGAGCCAAATTTTGTACTCAACCTGTTTAACATGAAACCCATATGACTTGAAGAACATTGCATTTAAAGTTTTTGAATCAGTCTTGGTATACATGTAAAGAGTGATATAAATGACTACTTTTTTCTTTCAGGGTGGATCATATGAATAGTTTCCAACTGTTTCTCAAGCACCTGTCATCCAGTCTTGGTGAACAAGGCAAAAATATCATCTGGAAACAGCTGAAAGGAAGGTAAACAAACGACTAAAAAAAGGAAATACCCTTTTTGTTTGTTTATAAATATGGCAAATGTGCTTGATATCAAAATTTAGTTTGAAATCATTTCAGTTGTGAAAAATTAAAACTTCTGTGACAGTAATATCACTTTGCTAAAGTGTAAAATGGAAACTTGCTATTTCCAGTCATGTTTCCATTTCTAAAATAATTAGATAAGAAGGACCCACTTTTTCCACTTCTTATTTTAAAACATTCTTCAATCTGTAGGTTTTACTCAAAATTCCACCCCAGAAGAATGCAAGAGCTGACAGAGATAGGTCTCCATAACTTCACTGAGCTGTTTATTACTCTGGCCCTGATTGGAGATCTAGAAGATGTGGTTTGTAATACATGCTCTGTGTCAGTTTATATTGTGAAATGTGATAAAATATGAAAAATGTTTAATATAATCAAGATAGAATGACTGCTATCTTTAGGTCATTATCAAAAGAGAGAATTTTTAATAGAAAATTTCATTCGATTACTTTTGATACAGGCTGAACATAGTAGTAATATAGATACTTTCTTGAATTTGTGTATGTGAAGCAATATCACTGTGTTTATTATCCTGGCGGCATTGACAAAAGTTGCATGTTTCATTCTCCAGGCAGGAAAAATGGCTGATTTTTATGCCATGCTGCAGATGGACAATGTCCACCATGGTCACAGGGCAGTGGTGTGGAGGGGCATGTTTGTGCTCATGCTGACCTATGAGGAGAAGGGAGTGGACATCAGTTTTCTGGCAGAGAAGATGGCCCAGGAATTTAATGCACTCTGCTGGTACCTGCAATGTTTTCGTTGTCTCTCAAATAATTATAGTGCATATTCATGTACTTGAATCATCAATTCTTCTAGTTAGAAAACAAAGAAAAAGCTTATTTATTTTTATAATACTTTGACTTCTTATAAAAATAATTGAGATCAACACAATTTTTTAAAAAAAATCATCATTTACCCTCTTCTTAGTTCAATGTTAAAGGTATCTTTCCTTGCATGTTTACACAAGCATTTGTAAAGATTATGAAATTTTTCTGGTACTATTCTCCTGTTCCAGGGAATTTTCAAATGACACTCTAGAATCCTCAAGAAGATTTCAACTGTGGTCTTTTATCAGCATGTACCTAGATTGTGTCCAAGATGTCTTTGAGGCTAGCGACCAGCTGAAGCTATCAGAATACAAGCTATTAGGTCGAGGCCTGGGACAGATCCTTTCAGCAGTCAGAGAAAATGAGCTCAGGATTGTGTTGAATTTTTTGCAGTTGGTTTTGGCTAGACATAGGCAAGCATCTTGTACTACGTTCTTTTGAATAGATATTTGAAATGATTTAAGATAAAAGTACCATGTTTTAATAATGAGGCAGTTTAGTCACCAAAAGGCAAAAACAGTCTTTCAGATTTCAGAAAAAAAATAGCACAGGCTTGTGTTGCAACATGTTCACAAGAAAATGCTGTCTGATCGATATTAAGGAATTGATGAAAACTTTGAATTTGCTTTCTTAGAATTATTTACAAGAGAGTTTCTCAACAACTTTCTGATCAACACCAAGTTACCCAACAGTTCAGAGGTATGTGTTTGCAATCTTTTTCGTTGATTTTTAGAGAGGGACAACTTTAAAACTTAATTTGGAGAAAAACTTAGGAAAGCACACCAGAAGTACTGTATATAAAGTAACAAATATTAAAACTTTTTTTGTTGTAATTGAACTATTTCAATTACATCCATTGGCTCAAGTTTCTACCTTCCCAAAACTTAATCAGTTCATTTTTCATTCCCTTTAGAAGTGGCTGATGCATTGTGGGTGACAGCTTACCAATTTGTTCAGACTCACAGCTGTACATTGACACCCCCACCTCAACTAGCAGATGTAGCTGCCAGCTTCACAATGCTGACACTCAACTTGTGCGTACAAATCTTGGACATTTTCATTTTAATTTTTTATTCCCATTTTACTGATCAAGACTGGGTGCGATTACTTATATGTATTTTAAACTAACATTAATTTCATGTCTCTTTGTATTTTGAAAATCATTTACAATCAAAGTATGTTATAAAAGTAATAGCAGTATTTTCCATGGTGGCAGACCTCCTGGGCCCAGCACAGGAATAAAAGAAGATTTTCTCTCCTCCTTCCAGTATTTTGGTTGTAATGCAGCTGTTAGTGCAAGGTATTGTGGTTATATCATTTAAAAGAGACAGGAAAAAAAACACATGAGAAATAAATGAGCCCCTAATACCAACTAACCACCTACCAACTGGTCATTTCTTTGTTCAGAATACTCATGTTTTTTTGTTATTTCGTGAAATTTTGTTTTTGCTTTCTAAGTGTCTTAAAATGTAAATTTTATTGTTTTATTGTATGTTTAAATACAACCCTACAAATCAAGTAGCTATTTGGTTCTTTTTGGGATCTAGTGTCAGTTGTCGGTACCTGAACCATATGCTACCAAACCAGCTAGTAATTGAACGGCTCTCCTCTGATCTCAAGAACTATCAGCCTCTGGTGGTCCAAGCTTGGTTCAAGTGTGCATTATACCTGTTCAAAGACAATGATCAAATGCAGGAGCTATCCAGGTATGGAGTCTTTCGATCATTGCTCAGTGGCATGAATTTATTTTTCATTGTCAGTGCAAAACCTTTTTTTTCTAATTAATAACTTACCAAACATCAGTTTCATTTCTATTTATTTCCATGAATTGTTTTTGCAGCCTTATATCTTCAAGTCAAACTCACTGCTAAAATGAGAACACCTGTTAAAGTCATTTCTGTTTCAGGTTAATCTTAAAGCTTCCAGAAGTGGGTGAGTTATTTGAGCATGTCGAGATGGAAGCATCTGACAGTTACAGCACTGTTGTGGTTCAGTTTGTTGTAGCACTAGGACAGTCTTACCACAAAACTGAGGTATGTGTAGTTCTCCTTTAGTTCACTGTAGCACTTGCTTGTCTTTGTGACTATTCATAAAAGGGGTATATGTAGCGCTCAAGTTTTGTACTGAGAATTTTTTCATTGAGAGGCATCCAAGTGCTTTAAAACCATGTATCTCAGAAATCATCAAATATTGGTAATCTGTACGTAACACATCCATGCTTTGCTACATGTTCTAGGGTCTGATGAACAAAATCAAATTCAGAGAGCATGCTACCGAGTACTTTGGTGACATCACCAGACATATTGGTATCATCCTGAAGAATGCAGGACCACCAGAAGCCCTGAAAGCAGTCTATGTCATTGGTGGCTACATGGTGAAACACTGCGCACAATTTCTTTATGTGAAGGTAGGCACTGGCAGTAAAAATAACGGTACTGAGCTTCACTTTGTTGACACTTGATAATAAGAAGTAGGTGCCATATTATAACTTTTAGTCAAATCACCTGTGATGGGGATATTGGGGAATTATAGGGAAATTTCCTTTTTATTCTCATTGGTCATAATAATTTTCATTTATAGGAATTAGTTTGTTTCTCCTTTAGGCTGATTTTTTTCTTTTCATGTGAAAGTTGTTGGGTTTTCTATTAAATTAGCAAAAAAGTGAGAATTTCAGGAGAGGGCAGGGTTTTTTTTTTATATTTACAATTTACTTTTGTATTTTCCCTGTGTTAAATATGCTAATGGTATGGTACAATTGTATACTGTGTTATTGTAACTTAGAAATTAGATGTTGAAAAAAGACATTTGAGGTCACTTGCTTTTCTATTTCAGTCTAAGCCAGACTGTCTGTTGCCAAGTTTGTTAGATAGCCTGGTATTGCCCCATGTTTTATTCAGTGCAAGTAAAACTTTGAATCCTTCCATATTGCAAGCAATTAAGGACCATTTGCATTTGGTAAGTTTCTTTTATTGGTAAAATGTTTTCTATGTTTCATGCAGTATTTGTAGTGTTGAGCAATTATTGACTCACATAGTTGTTTCAGTTACTTAAACAATTCCATCCTGATTAACTCTCATATATATATATATATATATATATATATATATATATATATATATATATAT